GAGGCTGCGCCTCCGTCCGTGGCCTCGCGTGGGTGGCCCCCCTGTGGCTCCTTGGGGCTGCTCCAACGGAGGTGGGTCTGTCGCTGGGAATCCCGGAGTCCTTTTGTCTGTCAGCTGAACCCAGAGGCCGGAACTGTAGGCGAGCTGTAGGCAGCGCCGAAGCACTCCGCTCCCTGGCGCTTTCTGCCTGGGAGGGCGCTCCGCCTGCAGCCTCTTCTCCGTCCACGGTAGTAGGCTGCGCTCCTCACCCGCGTCCCAAACCGTCATCTCTGGCGCAGAGCAAGGAAGGATTCACGTTGTTCTTGTGTTTGGATTCATCATTCATGTGAGATCATCCCCAGCCTCCCCCTTTTTAACCCGTTGCCGTCCAGCCTCCACTCTGGTTGATCGTCCCCTAGATTCTGCAAACTATCAACAAAGAAATGTGGCTGGTCGAGTAAACAGTTCTTGCCTGGCTGGACCGTGCAAGTTAACAGAGCTTCCTTAGCTGGCGCTATTCTGCCAAGCCGGTCGAAAGACGTTTCTGGCTTGACTTAAGATGTTACTATATGTGCACATAGTCTTTTTCGCTCCCCTTCAACAGTGAGGTTCAAAAAATCTAGGGTAACTTGATTAAAATGTAGCTGTTTGGGAAACGTAACCGTAGAGGGGAAAAAATACAGAACGGAAAATGTTATGATTGGGGCAATCGCCCAACTTCTTGAAAGTGCCAAAGATGAAGTATATGGACTTTTGATATTACTTTAACTGGTAAATTGTATCCTTTGATGTTAGCTTTTAACATATGGTAAATTCCACTAAGATATTTTTGTTTATTTTAGTTACCTGTGGAAATTGTCAGTTACCCAGGACATCTTAAAAAGAGAAACCTGTGAACAGGTTCATTAAGAATCTAGTTTGAAAAATGCATTTTTTGAATGCTTTGAATTAAGGAGTGTTAACAGTGGTCTGTCATTCCTGACACCTAAAACGGTTCCTTCCCTGGCATTGCCTGCATGCCCGAGAGTGGCAGGGTCTAGTAGTTTGCTATCCTTCAACAAGAAGTATAGTGCTACCACCTACCTACTGTATAAATGTAATCTGTGACGACATTCATTATAATGGACGCATTTCTGCATCTAATTTTCAGATACTGAATTAACACTTGGAATCTGGAGAAGCATTTTGTACAGATTGAAAGATTGGGCTTTCTCTTTAGTTTTCCAGATGTATTATCTGATCTGCATACTTGAAACATCCACAGTCACATAAACTCTGGTTGTAACCATGGAGTTATGTGACCCATCAAGATATAGGAAAACTGTTGCCAAGCTTTGGAACCGGGCCATTTTCTACCAGTTCAACCCTTAAACTAATATATTCTCTGCTGATAATCAAGAATAAAGAGCCAAATAAAGTCATGCACATTCTGTTGACAGATGGACTCTGTGGCTGTTGAATTTTACTATAATGGGTTACTCTGTCATTCCAATGCAAGTTACATCCTGATGGAGGTAAAGACCTGTATTCATGTATCCTGATTATAGCAAGTGTTGAAGATAGGAAACCTATTATGACTAATCCTTGGGAAGAGAAAGTCTGCAAAATGGCTCAAACGAGTTTACTGCAGGGGAAGCCGTTTTACTGTAGGGAGTGGGTTTTCCACAAGCTTCAGCATTGTCTTCAGGAGAAAACTAACTGTTGCAATAGTGCTGTCAGCACACCACCCCTTTTAATGAATTCTGGGAATAATGCTAGTGTTGTCTCTGGAAAAGGAGCTGCCTGGGGTGTGTTGTTGGTAGGAGGGCCTGGCAGTGGCAAGACAGCCCTATGCACTGAGCTCTTGTGGCCAAGTTCACCTACAAGCCTGCAGAGAGGTTTGCATCGCCAGGCTTTGGCCTTTCATTTCTGCAAAGCCCAGGACTCTGATACTTTGTGTGTTGGAGGGTTTATCAGGGGTCTGGTTGCCCAGATCTGCCGCAGTGGACTGCTCCAAGGATTTGAAGACAAGCTGAGGGACCCAGCAATCCAAAGCCTCTTACAGCCTGGAGAATGCGAGCGGAACCCAGCGGAAGCATTTAAAAGGTAATGAGAAGAATGCCATGCTGTTCCAGTTTCTATGCAAGATTTAAGGGCTTTTTTTTTTAGCTGTTTTAACTTTGTGGGGTACCTGTACTACTGCTGTAAAGTTGAGGTTAATCTGTGGTTGTGAATAAACCTGAAGGAAACAATTTAAGCTTTGTATAGCAGAGGATATGGATTAAAAGTATGTCTTTTATTTGTTTAACAACAGAATTCGAAGCACTGCAGAAACAAATTATTCTTCAAATTTATGCCAATCATTTATTGACTTTTCTAATATTAATGGTGGGGGACATTTGTTCCTATAGTAGAGATACTTAGCTGCCTGGAAACTTAGGCGCATTTTCAGGCAGGGGGAACTATGCATGGCACTGAAATCGGAGGACCTCTCAGCATGTAACAACTATCTTTTTTGTTTATAGTATCATTATTTCTTTAAATAAGAAAAGTTCTCTTTGAAAGAGACCACTGGCCATTGAAAATATGAAGAAAATCTGCCAACGTGTTTTAGGATTTATTCCCCTAGCAAAGAAACAAAAAGTTGCGCTCTATTTTGAAATATGTGATATGTATAAAATAATGAAAATTTGGCATCGTTTTATTACTTTTTTAGTGAGTGATATAAAAAAAATGATTTTCCAAACCTTAATTAAGCATTTTTCCATGGTAAATGGATTGGTCTAAGAAGTGATTAAATTGCTTTTCAGAATAGTTCTAGATTCAAAATGTGTTTTTTCTTTAAAAAAAAAATACTTCCTTGAAAATAATTTTTGCAAATCGCCCCTCTGCTCATTGTAAAAGGAGGCAAATTGTCACTGCCGCTTTAAGTAGTCATTTTGCCATATACATTTTCCCTTATACAATAAGTAGTTCTTAGCAGGCAAAAGTCTGTTTCCCAAAGATGGCAAGTATACTCATCACTGCAGGTTAGTGTGTAGGGGGAGAGGTGGGGAGGGGAGACGAGGAGAGGAGAGGGGGAGAGAGTGTGTGTGTGTGTGTGTATCTGTCTCTGTGTGAGAGTGTCTCTAGGAGTCATTTTAACAGGATCTGAATTGCTACGAAGAGTGATGTTCTTATGATGTCCTCAGATCTAATGGTATGCAATCTATTATTTTGATGTGATATTGAAAATAATATTAGCATGTACTTAGTGTCAGCAACTGTTCTAAGTTTTTTACCAGCATTAAAACCAGTCTTCATAAAAGTCCCACGAGGTAAGTACTGTTATTAGTCTCATTTTATAGATGAGGAAACTGAGGCACAGAGAGCCTAAGTGACTTGGCCAAGGTTATGTGGTAGTTAAGTGGCAGAGCTGGGATTTGAAATGCATGTGTGTGTACAGGTTTGTAATCACAGAAATTTTTTGGAGGACTTGAGAGGAAGAAGAGTAGTTTAGAAGTTTGTGGAAGACAGGGTGTAGGGGGTGGTCACAGTTGTGGTTTGAGTGTGGTTTTCGGATCACCCATATATGTAACGAGAGGCAGTCTGGAGTGATGGTTATGAATAGCGTTATTGAGTTAAAACACGGGAGGGGTTATTAAGTCGGCCAAAGGAGTGTGTCTGAGAGGCGTGAGGGTCTTGCACACTTTTTCACAAGTAGTTGTCATCCAGTAACCCAGGGCAAATCTATTGTCTTTTGCTGTTAACCATCAAAATCAGGTTAAAACTATTGTATCTCTCTTAAATCAGTGAGGAAGTCTGCTTAAGTGATGCCAGTGGCACAGGTATGAGGTGCCAGGTTTGATGGATGGTTCAATGTGCATCGTGTAAGGAATCAGTGATGTAGTCTTTAGTGTAAACTTTTACTTCTTAGAGACTTCAGGTCTCTGCACATCAACAACTCCTATCCTCTTGACTTTCTGCTTTTTCTGAAGATACTATCACTAGTCAAAGAGCTCAGTTTTCATTTTGTAAAGGCATTTCATAAGCTATTTGGATTTATAGACCCCTTAGAAAATTAAAATTAGTTTCAAAGAGCTTAGTCTAAGTTAAACTTAGTCTAAGTAAACTATGTAATTATACAATTTATTTTATTGGAATTCATATGTAAATTTCTAATATTTTTAAATGTTTAAAATCATGTCTGATCACTGTATAATTTTGTTAAATTCTGTCCCTGAGCAGATCTTTCTCTACAGTACATAAATTTTCCTGAAAAAGATCCTTCTACTCAGATGGTCCTGTTACTGTTTTGTTTTTGTTTTTGTTTTTCTGTGTGAATTTTAGTTATTAACTCATTGGAGGGAAATCAGCAGCAACTGGAGCTGTGTGGAAAAACCACGCCAGAGCTGATTTTCTGATTGGCAGAGGGAGCTAATCCCTTCATGTTCCCAGTCTAGACTCTGGGAGAGAAAACAGTCTTTCTATTGACCGTTGTGGTGGTCTTTATTTAATCTACTGGGTCTTTCAAAACCCTGGGTCACTTTTTTAAATTTATCATGAAAGTAATTAATCATTAAATCAGGTAATTTTGGTATGAGATCAACTTTCTGATCATTCATGAGATACACACTTCTACTATGACTGAAGCTGTAATATAACCACCATCAAATGTAAACATGATAACAATTCAAAGTTAAAAAATGTTTTTGCATAGTCTATAGTATTAGACAATCTAGGCCTCTACTTTTGAATCAAGTTTTATTGTAGGTTCTATCAGTGACTGACTTGTTAAATAAGTCCTTTTGAGAATTTTCATCAGAATGCATATTATGTAGGCAGGACAGATGTAATTCAACAGGAGCACGATGAGAAGAAGATCATCGTTTCCAAAGAGTTAATATTTTGAGAGAGAGAAGAGATCAAGGTAACTAATTACAACAGGAGGAGCAGGGCTCCAGGTGAGAGATGGAGGGACAGGTAGTGGCTTCGGGTCCTGTGACGGGTTTAGAAGCACAACTGAAGATGGGTATTTCATTCCACCAGATACTGTTTTCCAGACCTTACTGTCATGATCCCTGAACCCCAGGGTCTCTTTGGATGTGGAGCTGGGATACAAGCCTTTATTCCTGACTTTTATTTCTGTTTAACAATCTGCAAGACCAGCTGTGGGTTTTCTATGTGTGATGTCAGTTTTCCCCGTGTTGAGTAAAAGTACTTCGTTCTGTGTCATATTGACAGTGGTTCGTTAAAACATCTTCAGGGGTATCACAAATTAAGTGTAAATGGAATGAAATTGTGATGAATTAAGGATGAATGCTTCTAAACTTTGAGCGCTTAACAGAAAAGTTGTGTTAATGGCGAAGGTGACAGTGGCTTGTTGGGTCTGGAATGTGGAAGTTTATACTCTGACCTTTGATTTTTAAGTGGTATGGGAATCCTTGAATGACAGAATCACCTTCTTTCTGTTTATCTCCTCCTTGAACATTTACAGCTCTTGACTTGTATCTCTTTAGATTTTGGCTCCTTTTGTAGTTAAGCATGTATCTTGTTATCTCCTCTGTTAGGCTTCTCATGACATTATTCATGACTGATTAATTTTTTACATTTACCATTGTGCTTTGAACATCACTTTTCATATAGTAAGTGCTAAATAATTATCATTTAAATGACTGGATAATGCTACTTGCCCGTCTAGAATGTGTCTGAATCTAACTGAAGGACATCTGAAACTGCTGCATAAAGAAGGAAATTGAAATGTTATATCATTTAGGTCAGTTTTAAATGCGGATGAAACTGGTGTAGTGATTATTAATTCATTAACCTGCCGTCTGCTCCTCAGCATATATGAATATGGCACTGGTCCAGATAGTTTTAAGTGGCCAGATGTCTATCTTCTGTCTCAACTGGCTCCAAGTATTTTTGGCAAACTCAACAAAGAGACAAAAAACAGAATGGGACTGGAACGTTTGCTTCCTTCGTACCCTCAGTTGTGGGGTATTTATTTTCAAGGCAAAATATTCCCTTTCCTTATCTGTCGTGTATAACTAATATAGTTAAGGTAACTGTGTTTATTCATTCTTATATATTGTCAGATTAAAAGATCTTGTGAAAGTGTCTCACATTTTAAATAAAATATTACATATAATTTTCATAATTACAATTCTATATTTCTTTTAGTCTAAGATTATTACTTTGCCCTGAAATGTCAGTCGTTTCTAACTCTTAACTATATTATACTTACTTGAGGAAGTACCTCCAGTCATTCAAACCCTCCTTCTTTCCCTTCCTAAAATCTTGTCTTTCTACCCTAGATGGACTTTCTCGTTCACACTTCTTAAGTGCTGCTGCTGCCACCTCCGTTGGTTCCTGGTTCTTTATTCAGTGAACCAGCCCTCAACCTTCAATCACTTCTGCATAACAATGGCATAAAGTATCGCTCCATCTTCATACTGTTTAATATGCGCCACGGTCCTAGTTCTGCTTGGCCATTCTTTTGTTTACATACTTCTTGATAACTCAGATTTTCTTACTTAGATGAGAGAGAGTAAAGTGGTGCCTTACAGGTTGAATGTTTTTCACCCCATTCAGGAAATTGCACAGGCATATCCCGATTTTTGTTTTTTCTTGAAAAAAAAATTGGACATTTTGACAGTATTCGGTTCTCGTTGCTTTGAAGCAGTAGTCTGGTTGAGCTCAGCCAGCTGCTATCTTAGATAGGACTACAAACTCTAATTAGATTCACCCCCTCCTCAGCCCCTCCCTCCTCCCATTATTCTTTCCCAAGACCCTTTCATTTGTTTACGTTTGCCAGCCTGGCTCCTATAAGCATTTTCAAACATGAACATATTTCCTATTCCTCTGAAAAAATAAACACTATATATTTTTTATCTCCCTCTAAATTTGCCTTCAGATTATCTCAGATGTGTGTACGCAGGTGCTACTGCTTCTTCCCTGTCTCCCATTTCTTCCTATTCTACTGAAGTGTGACTTTTCTCTGTACATATTCAAAGAAAGTTGTTTGGGTATTGTCATGTCTGAACTCACTAGTCAACATATCTTTAGCCTTAGATGACATATTTTAGGACTTTGTCCCCCCTTATTTGTACTTTCTTCCTTTCAGA